TTTCCAAAGAGATAGATTGGGCCCCAGGTGACCAGGGAGCTGCTTCCAAGCTCTAAGCCGTCAGCTCCAAATTTCCCCCTTTGGCTATCGCTTCACGGCTGTGACCCTTCAGCCCTTCACCTGGAAATCCACTGGCCCTTAGCTCACGTCAAGGAAATCGGACAGGTGTTTGTGGGGCCTCAACAGCGGCTCTAGGCTGAGCTCCGAGGGGGGTGGTGACAGCAAACCCGAGACAGCCATCACCCCTGACGTGGTCCCTTCTTAGTCTCCAGGGGGCTTTCACGTGGTTCTCCAGCAGGCGCCTCACAACGGCAGGGAAGGGGATGCTACTTTACAGAGGGGGCACTGAACATTCTCCCCCATCACAGGAGGGACCCAGAAGCCAAGTCCTAGCTCTCCGGCCGAGTCCAGTTCTCTGTAGAGAAGCTCGCCTGGCATGGAGCTTGCCATCTGCAGGACAGTGACCTAAGGGCTTTGCATGTAATTCCCGAGGGCGCTTACCACCCTCCAGGGTAGAGGATGTCGTTGCCCCATTTCTCAGATGAGACTCAGAGAAGTTGAGTAACTTGCCCCGGGCACTCAAAGTACAGAGGGTGGCCTGGCTCCAGAGCTGTGCTCCTACTGTGGTGCCCACGGCCCCTCTGAACACACGGCTCCAGAACCAGACAGTAGAATGGAGCTCAGAGTACTAGGCATGGGTCATCAGCACTGCCTGAGGCTGGGAAGTGGACAGATGCGGGTTGCCAGCGTCCTTGGTAGAACTTCGGGCGTTAGGGTCTGCCCGAGACTGAGGGATTGCCTGGGACTAAGCCAGGAAAGTCCTGGGAAGCCAGGGTGGCTGGTCCCCACCGGGGGTCCCCCCGGAGGACCGTGTCCTAGGCGGGCCCTGCGGTGGAGCGAGCTTGTGGCGGGGGGTGTGGGGGACCTGAGCGTACAGGGGCGCGAGGGCCGCTGACAGTCCTGGGCAGGGAGCCTTCAGGGGCTGCAGCAGCAGCAGAAGCTCCCGGCACCGTGTCTCCTGTCCTGCCCCCCAGCCCCCGTCACTCCCCTGCTCCTCCCCTGGGCCCGGCCAGAGGTACCGTGTGGGGAGGGGTGGAGTGAGGGGTCTCTGGAGCCCAGGGGGCTGCTCATGCCGCGCCTCCCCATGTCCCCCCAGATGACCGCCTACGGGGCCTTCCTGCACAAGGGCTCCTTCTGCCGGAACTACTTCAACATCCTGGACCTACTGGTGGTCAGCGTGTCCCTCATCTCCTTCGGCATCCAGTGAGTGGGGCCCCCTGGCCCCCGAGGGAGGCGTGCATGGAGGACAGTGTCGGAGAGGACAGCCGGGAGCCAGGGGTGGGGGGAGACGACCGCTGGTGGCGGGGAGGCCTGCCTGTGGCCACGGTGGAACTAGGCTGGGAGCGGGACGGGCCTTCGGCGGCGGCTGTGGCTTCTGGTGTCTGGGTCCTCAGTGGTGGGACCCTTGGGGTGCATTGACCCAAGCGAGGATCCGTTTCCATGTCTGGATCTCACCCAGCAGGCGGGCCCGGCCCAGTTACGAAAGAGGAAGGTCTCCAGGGCCCTCCCACCGGCTCCGCGGGCACCCTCAGCCCAGGCCTGCCAGCCCTGATGACCCCTGCCCCTTCCTCTCCAGTCTCCAGTCAGAGCCCCTGATGAGGGAGGGAGAAGGAGGAGGGACTGGTCCTCACTCCTGGCTGTGCAGGGGAATCACCGGAGCAACTTTAAAACAAGACCTTTGCCTGGACCCCTCCCACCCCCCCAAGCTTTGATTTAATTGGTCTGGGCTACAGCCAGGGCCTGAGGGATTTTAAACGCTCTCCAGACAATTCCACCTGCAACCAAGGCTGTGAACGTGCTCAAGTTTAAAAGAATCTCATTACTAGTTTCTCCCGAATTCTACCAGCTGGTAATGCTAACCCTGTACTTAACTTCCAAAGCACTTTCCGTACACATTCCTCTCTGAGCCTCATAGGACCCATGAGGCAGGCAGGGCCAGTGATGTTATCACTGTTTTCTAGACAGAAAAACTGAGGTCAGGACCTGGGACTCGGCCCGGGTCACCCCAGTGGCAGAGCAGAGGCGTCTGGGGCTCCGTCCCGAGGCTGTCCCCGTGGTCGGCCTAGAAGGAGCGGAGGTGGAGGCATTCAGAGTGAGACCCTTTGCTGGGATCATCGTTATTCTACCCCAGGCTGTCTGCCTGTGAGCCTGTGGGTCTAATCCCATCACTGCCACTAAATCACTCTTAACCTTGAGCCAAGAATTCCCCCCTCAGTCTGGCCTTTCCATCCCTCCCATTGTCCCTGAGACGCTGGGATGGATCGGGCAGCCCTTTGAGTTCCTTGTGATCAGAGAGTCGTGAACCAGAGACATAGGACTTTCCCCCATCCCACTCTCAGCGGACGGCGTCCTGACACGGGAGGAAGGAGGTCAGCGCTTGCTGACGGGACCACGTGTCTTAGGTCCCAAGGAGCGTATAGGCTCTCCCAAGGCGGCTAGTGGGTGAGGGTGAGGGACGCTTCAGAGAGCCCGCCAGCCCGCCGGGGTGAGGGGCCTGCGCGCCCCTGGAGGGCAGCAGTGACCTGTGCTCCCAGGGGAGCCGGCTGGGCCCTGGCGTCCCAGGTGCACGGAGTCTGCGGTGTCCGAGCCGTTGCCTCTAGGCCTGGGTGTGCTGTGCACAGGGTGAGCGCGATGGGCAGCCGCTGGGACTTGGGTTTGCAGGTGAGCACCAGGTATCTCCTCCACCCAAAGTCCCACCATTCGTACAGTATTCCTTCAAGTTCATGATAATAGAAGCCACCACGTACTCACATCACAGCATGTGCCAGTTAGGCTGCTAGATGGTTCGTGTGCGTTTTCTCATTTAATCCTTGCAACAAGCTCGTGAGGTGGTCGCTGCCCCGTTTTACAGATGAAGAAGCGAGGGCCCAACAAAGTTAGGAAGTGTATCCTCAGTGGCCGGGGTCTGGCGGAGCTTTGCCTTGCTCTGCGTGTCCTCGGCACAGTAAACACCCCCCGAGTAGTACGTTATACTGCTAGTGGCTCATGGTAAATGCTTTTCCCATGATTTGCTCACCAACAAGAAAGTCCCCGGCCAGCTCTGGGTCCCTGCGGTGGGAGAAGAGAATGGGAAATGGTGCTGGGGCGAGAAAGTCCCCAGCAGACTCCCCAGTTTCTCCATTTGGGCTGGGACTTCCTGCCAGGAAGCGGCTCACCCTCCACTGCTGCTGGACCAGGGGCAGGAGAGGGTCACCCCCGCCCGTCCTCTCTCCCAGGTCCAGTGCCATCAACGTGGTGAAGATCTTGCGGGTCCTGAGGGTGCTGAGGCCCCTGAGGGCCATCAACAGGGCCAAGGGGCTGAAGGTGAGTTGGGCGGGCCTGGGCGGGAGCCTCAGCCTGGGGGTCCACGTGAGGTGACGGGCAGGCGGGAGACGGCCAACAGTCAGGCTCCTGGGTCGGAGCTGGGACCCTCCTGCCAGCACCTCAGCCCCACTTCCCATCCCGGGTCCGTGATACACGGAGCCACAGCAGAGGCCCCCGTTCACAATCCCAGCTTCTCAGCAGAGCTTTTGCTAAAGGAGACACACACACTACCCCGAGCCCCAGGTAGTGATGAGACCCCTGAATTGCTGCCCCCAGAACGTGGGAGGTCAGCGGGGCTTTGGTCCCTGTGGTCTCCTAGAGCCCAGTGGGACGCGGGTTTCACCAGGCTCCATCACCCCGTGACCTAGGAGGACGCTCGCTTTGCCCCTTTGAGTCTGGTCCCCCCGCTCGTGGCAAAGGGCTGCCCGCACCTCCTCTGAGAGGCTCGTGCCAAAGGGGCTCAGCCAAGGCCCCGGACCCGCCCCCTCTGTCCACCCGCAGCACGTGGTGCAGTGCGTGTTCGTGGCCATCCGCACCATCGGGAACATCGTGATCGTCACCACGCTGCTCCAGTTCATGTTCGCCTGCATCGGGGTCCAGCTCTTCAAGGTGGGGTCTTGGCCGGATCTGTGGCCCTGCATCCTTCCCGCCTACCAGCTTCTGGGACCTGGACGGGAGCTGGCAGAGGGGACACGGAGGGGACGGTGCTGGGTCACACTGGGGATGGATGCGGCCTCCCCACAGCCCCTCCCAGCTTCCAGACCCGAGGAGGACTAGTTCCCAGAACAGAGGAGGACTAACTAGTTCCCAGACCAGAGGAAGACTAGTTCCCAGACCCAAGGAGAGCTAACTAGTTCCCAGACCAGGGGAGGACTAGACCCGAGGAGGGCTAGTTCCCAGAACAGAGGAGGACTAACTAGTTCCCAGACCCGAGGAGGACTATTTCCCAGACCCAAGGAGAGCTAACTAGTTCCCAGACCAGGGGAGGACTAGACCCGAGGAGGGCTAGCCCCCAGCCTGAGGAGAGCAGTGCGGAGACAGGTGCCCCCATCACCACCTGGCCCTCACAGCCCCGGCCCTTCCTTGTAGAGAACGGCAGAGGGACTGCTATCCCCAGACCCCTCCGTGTGAGTCACCCATCTAAGCCCACGGGGCTCCCTGTGACCACAGCACCGAGTCCCCCCAGGTCACTGCAGAGCCCCGGTTTGTCTGGGTCCTCGCCCTGCTCCTGGCGGGCCCTCGGCGACGGGGAGGCCGGGTCCCTGGTTCCTGCCCTTCTCTGCCTCAGCCCTTCTCTTTCTGCCCTTCTCCACCTGAAGCTCTCCCCTCACCGCGTCGTCGTGCCCTGACTTCCACCACCGAGTCCCCTAGCCCCGCCCGTCCCCCCTCCCTCACCAGACCTGCCTTGTGGGCCCAGCTTCACTGCCTGGGCTTCCCTTCGGTCTGGTGCCTGCAGCCCAGGGCATGTTTGTGCACCGACCGCTCTGAGTCCTGACTTCCTGTCTGGGCTCTGCTCTCCTTACGCTTTGGTCCCGAGACCCCAGCGCAGAGCTGGCGACAGAGATATCACTAATCGGTGTTTGACTGGGCCCTCGATTAAGGAGCATCTCCAGTCACTTTGCTCTTCCACCTTCCAGGGCAAGCTCTACACCTGTTCGGACAGTTCCAAACAGACAGAGGCCGAGTGCAAGTGAGTGCGACCGGGGGGCAGCCAGGCTGGTTGACTCCAGGCGGTCGGTGACTTGTCCTGAGAGGAGGGGTGGCCCGTTCTTTCTCTGACAGCAGTGGTGGCTGCACTTTTACCCACGGGTTGTCTGGTCCTATTGACGTAACACGTAAGATCATCTGTTCCTGAATGTTCCACCCCTGACATCTTCCCAGCGGCTGGAGCTCTGGGTTTAAGCTTAGCCAGTTTCGTCCCACCCCCAAGCCAGGAGGCAGTGGTGGGTAGGCTGAGGGGAGACGGGAGACCCCAGGACGAGCCCTTTCTCGCTTCCTCAGGGGGAACTACGTCACCTACAAGGACGGGGAGGTGGATCACCCCATCGTCCAGCCCCGCAGCTGGGAGAACAGCAAGTTCGACTTCGACAACGTCCTGGCGGCCATGATGGCCCTGTTCACCGTCTCCACCTTTGAGGGGTGGCCAGAGTGAGTGTGCAGCTCCGGGCCGGGGTCAACCGCCGCTCCACACCCTTCCCAGAAGCCATACTTCTCCGGCTCCCCACGGGCCACGGTTGCCACCCAAACACCACTCTTCTTCTTCTGGATCTGAGCTTCAACCCGAAACGAGCTTCTTTTAGCTCCCCTCCCCAACCTAGACTGGGCCACAGTAAAGTCTGTCATCACCCTCATGGCATCTGGGAGTGGAGGGGCCCCTGGGTCACCGTAGGACTGAAGTTCCCGGCAGGCACGGACGTGGGTAGAGATGGCGGAGGTGCCCGCTGGTTAGACTCTGCCCCAGTCTCCTTGGAGGGAGCTGTGTCTGATTTGCAGAGGAAAGTCCCTGCAGAGGCAGTGCTGCCAGGCCTGGACCAGCCTGGTGGCCCATAAGCTGCATCCCCTCTACCAGGCCTGTCCAGGAGGGGCTCCGTGTATCTCTGTACAGATACCTGCTTCCCTCACGCCCCCATGTGTATTCCAGTGACATGATCATCTGAATGTCAGGGAATTCTAGATATTTCTAAGTCAACGACAGCACGTGACCTTAGGTGAGAGGCACCGTTATTAAATGGTAAAATATCTGTGCTACCTAGAGAACAGCCACGTGCTGTGTGGAGTAACAGAGGCGGGAGAGGAAGCAGCCTGATGGGCACGTAGCCGCGGCCCAGCTGGGCGGCAGACACAGGCCACCTGAGCGTAAACCAGACCTTGCTGATGATCTGAGTGAGCCTGGGGCGTTTTTCTTGATCAAGTGTTTCTATCTTAAATGGATACTCGGTCTCAGATTTATTTTATGTTCACTGTAAACCCTCCGAGTCTCTGCCAGAGAAGCAGCAAAGCTGTTTCAATATTTACCAATATCTCCAGCATTTGAAATCAACGGCCATGACTCATGTCACAGTTAGACAGCTCCTGCCAGTTTCAAAACACCTTCACATACGTTAGATCAACTACCCTGCCCGGTAGGAAAGTCCGGAATTATTGTCTCCACTTTGCAGGCAAGGAATCTGAGGCTCAGAGAGGTTGAGTGGTTTGCCCAAGTCACACAGCCAGTAAGAGGCAGAGCTGGGGCTTGAACTCAGGCCTCCCGACTCTCAGCCTGGAGCTGTCTCCGGCTCCCCGGCCCCGGGGCGCTCGGAGCAGCGGTGTCATCGCCACCGCCCTCCGTGGGCTGTCCCCCCAGGCTGCTGTACCGCTCCATCGACTCCCACACGGAGGACAAGGGCCCCATTTACAACTACCGCGTGGAGATCTCCGTCTTCTTCATCATTTACATCATCATCATCGCCTTCTTCATGATGAACATCTTCGTGGGCTTCGTCATCGTCACCTTCCAGGAGCAGGGGGAGCAGGAGTACAAGAACTGCGAGCTGGACAAGAACCAGGTGCCGCCGAGGGCAGGGCTGCAGCTTGGTTCCCCGGGGGGCCAGGGGCCGGGGGTGAGGGCTGCAGCTGGGGCCCCCGGGGGAGGCTGTGGTTGGGAGAGGGCCCCAGGCCCCCCGCCCAGTGTCTCCTGGAGGCCCAAGGGCAGAAGGGACGCAGACCCTGCAGATCCAGCTTGCAGCCGCCCTCAACCAACAGGGTCTGTTAACAGCTCCTCAGGGAGACTCGGTGGCGGGTCTGAGGGGTTTTGTGAAAGAGCCTCTCGCCCACACCTAGAAGCCGATGAGTCAGGAGGTGCCCAGGGTGGGGCGGCACCACTGATAGAGGAAAGAAACCAGAACAGTGAGGGTGGAGGTTTGGGGCGGGGAGAGGACGGCTTAGAAACCACTGTTAGATGGTTTCTTGTAGAACAGAGAGGCTGTGCACGCAGAGGGGGGGAAGGGCTCCAGCAGGAGGGACGCGGCCACGCTGGCCCTGGGCTGAGCTCCGCAGCCGGGAGGGCAGGCTGGGTGTGCGGTCGGGAGGCCGGAAAGCGTCCACGGGAAATGCATCCCGTCCACAGGGGGCTCGAGCTCTGCTAGGTAAGGAGCACCCCCGTCAGGCTCGCTGCACCCCTTGCAGCTCCGATGTCCACACCTTGGGCCTGGACTTTGGACTGTAAGGAAGCCAGGAGAGAGGGAGGCCAATTAGCAAGTGTAGGCGAGAAGTGACGGTAGAAGTGGAGAGAACAGCACTGGTCGGGCTTGGAGGCTGGGTGAGAGAAGGGCCTGGGGGACCCTGGTCCTGACCTGGGCTCCGGGCACAGCGCAGAGATGGCCGGAGTGTAGTCGGCCCAGGATCCCATCCCCTGGCCGTGAGCTGTGACTTCTAGTTTGTGGACCCTGGCAGATAAGGAACATGGACTTAGGACAGGAGAGGAACACTGAGGAGAGACGGGCCCCCAGGAGAGTCTGTGGCTGGGAAACCATCAGCGAGAAGACAGACTGTCAGTCAGTCAGCCAGTATTTACCAGATGCCACCGAGCATCTACGGTGCACAGCAGGCATCACCGAGATGGAAAGGAGGGGACACGGACCCCCTGACTATGTCCTGATGGGACTAACTAGAGAGGGTCTCTCTCCCGTTGAGGGAGGGATAGAAAATCAAAACACGTCCAAGTAGCAGCTCAACCTGTAAACGAGCTAGAGCTATAGATGTTGTCTCTCTCTCCCAGAGAACCCCACCCCTGGGGTGTGCAGCTTCCTCTGCCCCCACCCACCCCCGCCATCCCCCATCATCCGGGTTTCTCACCCCCGTCTCCCCGACGCAGCGGCAGTGCGTGGAGTACGCCCTGAAGGCCCGGCCCCTGCGGAGGTACATCCCCAAGAACCAGCACCAGTACAAGGTGTGGTACGTGGTCAACTCCACCTACTTCGAGTACCTGATGTTCGTCCTCATCCTGCTGAACACCATCTGCCTGGCCATGCAGGTCGGTCCAGCAGGCCGGCCGTGGCATCTGCCGGTGGGCGCGTGGGCGGTGTGTCACCGTCACGCTGGCCAAGGGGGCGGGGGTGGGGGGGCAGCTGGAGAAGCACAAGTGTCCCTTGTCGAGGGTGGAGGATCCCAGGACCCTGGGCCGATGAGATGGAGGGAGGGAAATGGAGCACAGGGAACCCTGAAGGGGCCGTGACTGTCGGGGGCCCGAGCTGGGTGGAGCCCCCCCGAGGAGCAGGAGGCCGGCAGGGCTGTCTCCCCATCAGGGCAGGAGCACGAGCCTCTGCGTAGCCGCGCTGGCAGTGCCGGCAGAGACGGGAGGGACATGCGGGGCCCCGCGGGGGTGGTCGGCCCCCCAGGCTGGGTGTTGAGGGGCGGCCGGGAGCAGCGAGCCCCGGCTCATGCACGGCCCCCCGCCCCTGCAGCACTACGGGCAGAGCTGCCTGTTCAAAATCGCCATGAACATTCTCAACATGCTGTTCACCGGCCTCTTCACGGTGGAGATGATCCTGAAGCTCATCGCCTTCAAGCCCAAGGTAGGCCTCTGAGACGGGCCTCTGGCCCACGGTGCCAGGGGGACAGGTGGGGGACAGTGGGTGCAGAGGCTCAGCGAAGGACCGTATCCTCCCGACGATAAACGTTCCAGCTCCGGAGCCTGCAGGCCTTGAGCCAGGCTAGCTCCTCGAAGCAGAATCTCAGCCCGCGGCCGGGCCGTGGTCTGGACACAGGGAACAGGGACATGCCTGAGCAAACCTCCTTGCAGGGTAGGCAGAATGGTCCTCGTCTCCCCACCATGGCCCCGGCCCCCGGCACGTCATCTAGAAGAGACTGGAAACCAAACCTCTCGAGGCCCAGCCCCCCAGACCCACCCGGGCTCTATTCTCTCCCCGTTTTGCCTGCCGTGCAGACTAAGAGCCTGGCTGTAAGAGCTGAGCTGGGGCTGCGTTTGCTCAGGGCTGGGTGTCTGTTTCCCCACCTCAGGGCTGCATCACTGCCCCCTGTACCTTCCAGTACGGGACGGACCTGCAAATGTCTCTGCTTTGCTACTTGTAAGCAGCTTCTAGAAAAAAGGCTGGGAGAGAAGATTAGAGCCATTGGCTGAGTGAGGCAGGGCAGGGCAGGTTGGCTCCCTGTCACTTGGATTATCTGTGCCCTCCCCAACCGACCTGCCCCTGGGCCTCAAGGACAGAGGGTGACCCGGTTCAAGCAGGCCTTCCATCTCCGGCCCTGTAGACAGGTCAGCATCGCCGGCGTCCACTGACCTGGGCTTCACAGGGGGCGGCTGCCCCGGAGGGGGGATCCCAGTGGCTTGGAGGCTCCCCACTGCTGCATAGCTCTGGGGGGCAATGAGAAGGAGCGCATTGTTTCTAAGAGGATCGTGCAGGGCAGCTTTCCAAACCTTCTCTTCCCCACTGTTACTAGTTTTTCCAGATGCAACACAGGTCAACGGGGGGTGGAAGGCAGGAGTCCCTGGCCCTATATTCCATTCCCATTCAGATGATCACCTGCCCCAGGACTAGCCGGGCCAGGAGGGGTGCCCCTTGGCTGTCGGATTCCTATTCAGCGCCAGGATCTGCGTCGTCTTCTCTGAATTAACATTCCACCACCCATTCTCAGTAACCTGCAGTGCGACACACACGTCGTCGCGTGGAATCCTCAGGACGCCTCTCCAAGATAGGCATTAGCTCCTCGTCTTAGGGAAGAGGGGAGTGAAGCTCAGAGCAATTAAGTAGCAGATTAGTTACACCATTATTAAGCGGCAGAACTGGGAATAGAAGCCGGTGTGTCTGACTTTGTGGTCGATGTAATTTCCGCCACACAGAGCTGTTAGCAAGCATCTTCCCACACCAGGTGTTCTGCTGGGAACTTTCCAGAAAGAGGGAAACCACCTTTGAGGGGCTTCAAAGACAAGACAGACCGTATTCTTACCGTGCCGAGTCTTCCTCTCTCACTGAGAACGCCTGGGAACCTGGCTGATTTTCAGAGAATAAGACCCCTAATGAATGCCATTTGGTGATAACAATGGTGTTTTCCTGTCTCCTCCAGAGCAGCAAATAAACGCTGTCTCACTTTCCCTTCCAAGCCCTGTCCCATTTAGGGGCAGAGGAGACCATGGAATGTCCCTGGCCACCTTCTGTGGGGTCCCCTGCGGTCCTATTCCCAGCCATGCCGCCCGGGAGCTGGCGGGCTCACAGCCCGCAGCAGCGTGCCCTGGGGAGGCGGGGAGGCCGGGCCGCGCTGGGGCTGAGCTTCCGGCTCAGACGACAGCCTCCAGGAGGGAAACCGGCATCATTTTCCCCCAGTTCTGTGAGACATACAGCTTACATATTTCAAAGCCTTGAGTCATTCCACGTTGACTCAGACGTGTTTCAGCTGATGCCTGATGCCGGCTCCAGGGCCCTGCAGGGGACTTCCTGAGTCAGACTCCCGAGCTCAGGAGATGCACTGGGCAAACCTGCCCTAGGGAGCACGTGGCAGTGACACCTGCAGGGGCCTCTGCCTGGAAAACACTCTCCCTGAATCCTGCACACCCAGGAGCAAAAGCCCTTTTCCCGGGAAGCAGCCAGGTAGGGTGCTTTAAACCATAAAGCACCCAACTTCCTCCACCTCTAGTTTTCTGTTGTGAGAAGATGGGGTGAAATAGGAGAAACTTTTCCAGAGAAGTAAGAGAGCCATCCTGGGGCCATGTGCATTTCACACATGCCAGGGTCTGTCTGTGGCATAAAGAAGAAGGGAAATGGACCTTTTCTGGGAATACCCTGCCGGGGCTTCTGGCAGCTTCTGGCAGCCAAACAAGCCTGTCCAGCTGGGAGGAGAGTGGGGTTCCTGGATTCTCATTAAGGAGTAGACTCCAAGAAAAGCATCCCCAAAATTTCCAGGAAGATAACCAAACCAGAAAGTACTTGAGGGGACTTGCCTGGTGGCACAGTGGTTAAGAATCTGCCTGCCAATGCAGGGGACACGGGTTTGAGCCCCGGCCCGGGAAGATCCCACGTGCTGCGGAGCACCTAAGCCCGTGCACCACAACTACTGAGCCCATGTGCCACAACTACTGAAGCCCGTGCGCCTAGAGCCTGTGCTCCACAAAAAGAGAAACCACCGCAATGAGAAGCCCGCGCACCGCAACGAAGAGTAGCCCCCGCTCGCCGCAACTAGAGAAAAGCCCGTGTGCAGCAATGAAGACCCAACACAGCCAAAAATAGATAAATAAATAAATTTTTAAAGAAAGAAAGTACTTGAAGCCCTGGTGGGAATATCTAGCTGGATCTGGCCCTAGAACCGGTGCTCCTAATGTGATCGTGTGTTTGTGCCACGAGTGAGTTTGCACCTGCGAGCGTCAGCTGAGGAAGGACAGTTAGGCAGTAAGGACGCAGGAATTGCCATCAGTCCTAACATCAGGTGTCTGAGGTTGGCCTGCTGGACTTCCTACTCTGTCCCTTGGTCTCTGTGGTTGGTTGGCTGGTCGGTCGGTCGGTTTGTAGTTTGGCCCCGTTCTTTTGTTGTCCTCATGGTAATTGATGTTCTCGGTCTTCATTTCCATCTGTTCTGCTCGCCACCTTATGGAAAATAAATGGACTCAAGTAAATCCCTGCTCTGCTCCTAAAATACTCATTCTGTCTGAAGAATGGGGCAGGTGACAGGAGTGTCTTGGACACCTAATGGCCAGAGGGAATCTCTCCCCGAGCGGAGGACTGCCCTGGACATTTCCGATGGCCCCTGGGCCCCATGAGACTGTGCAGGACCAAGCTGGTCAGCATGAAAAGGTTTTGCATAGAATCGTCTGAAGTTAAGTAAATAGCTGGACTGTCCTCCTGTCATGAACAGAAATTTATCAGCAAAGACAGGAAAGAACTTTTAAGATAAACTTTCTGATAAGCACTGAAAAGTATCCAATGCCTGGGCTTCCCTGGTGGCGCAGTGGTTGAGAGTCCGCCTGCCAATGCAGGGGACACGGGTTCACGCCCCGGTCCGGGAAGATCCCACAGGCCGCGGAGCGGCTGGGCCCATGAGCCATGGCCGCTGAGCCTGCGCGTCCGGAGCCTGTGCTCCGCAACGGGAGAGGCCACAACAGTGAGAGGCCCGCGTACAGAAAAAAAATATATATATATATGTATATATATATATAATATATATATATCTCTCCCCAATGCCTAAGAATAAATCTAACCAAAAACCTCTAAGATCTTTACAGAAGATCTGTGAAATTTCACACAGAGGAGTTAAAGAAAACTCAGTAAATGGAGAAATATGTCATGTTCATGAATTGGGAAAGTCAGTGTTACAGAGATGTCATTTCTCTTCAGTACAATCCCAGTTAAAACTCCAGATTGAACTTTAACCCAAGTCCTTCAGGGTCAATAGGACGACCCAGGGGGTTCCAAGGCTTCAGTCCCTTAAGGCAGCTCTGCCATGACTGTGGAGGTTCCAGGGCAGGGCCAGCCCCAGATGCTCCACGGTCAGCTCTGGGGGGTGGGGTGATCACGTGTCTGGAACTTGCTGTTGACCATGACCCAGCGGGTGATGAAGGGAGAAGGGGTCCCAGGCTCCTGCTCAGAGAAGCAGATCGGCCCAGGGAGGTGGGAAGATTCCCAACTCCCCCTCCTCTACCCGGGGACTCACCTGGGCCTTGGCAGGTGAGGAAGCAGGGGCAGCTGTCTCTGAGACTTTCCCATCCCCTTGGTGCTGCCCAGTCAGGGAGCGGCCACGTCTCTGCCCCCAGAGGGCCTGACCCCACAGCTCTCTGGGATCAAAATGCTTTTCCACGCCCTCCCCACTGAGAACAGTCCAGAAAGCGAGTGGAACCAAAATGGAAACACTCATCGACCCCCTGGCCCCCGGCTCTTGGGCATAAGAGCAACTGGAGCCTCGGGCACGCTCCTGATGCAGGAGAAACTGGGGCCCAAAGGCGTTTCAACCCAAGGGATGCATGAGGTCTCCAGACCAGCGCCAGGACCGTCTGCAGGAATAAAGATGCTCCGTGCCCACCATCTGTCTGTAAACAGCCACCCGCCTCCTGGGCACCTTGGCTCATGCAGCCGAGGTATGGATTCTTAATTCTATTTAAATTAATTCAAATCTGTGTGGCCACATGGCCGGTGGCTGCCATATTGGGCCATGGGGCTCTAGACACCGCTTCTCCGCAGGCCGCTCGCGGGGTCTGCATCCCTCCATCCGTCCGCCTCACCCCAACTGCTCTGGCTTCATGGACCCAGGTGGGTGATCTCAGGTGTGGGAGCCCTGTGGGAAGAGTAAGACTGGCTCCTGGCCCGGCGTCCCCCGTGTGGGTCCCCTCCTGGGCCCCCAGTCGTCCCTGGACCTCCCGGGTCCAGTACCTGCAGATGCCGAGGCAGGCGGTTCAGTGGTCAGCACCAGGCTGTGGGGCCGGGCCAGGCTGACGTGCTCGGCCAGAAAGTCTGAGCTGAGAGTATGGACGGCCTTGGCCTTGCCGAGCGTGAAGGCAGCCTTCCCCTCATTTCTGACTGTGCTTGTGCGTGAGGGTCCCGGCCCCTGGTGCCCCCAGAATAAAGTCCCCTCT